GATAAGAAACAGTTTACAACCTGCTCTCTCAGAAGTCTGCTATCTGAGAGCTTCCTCTGCACAATAAAACATGGTCTCCACAATCCTTTATCTTTTACTTGAACGTTCCTTTCTATCGATCCCAGGTCTTTAGACAAACTCAACCAATTGTCAACTAGACAATGTTTAAATTTACCTATAACCTAGAAGCCCCCACTTTGAGTTGTCCTGCCTTTCTGAACAAAACCAACGTATTTCTTAAACCTGTTTGATTGATATCTCATGCCTTCCTAAAATACATAAAACAAAGAGGTACCCCGACCACCTTAGGCACATGTTCTCAGGACCTCCTGAGGCCTGTGTCATGGGCCATGGTCATTCATATTTGGCTCAGAATAAATCTCTTAACATCATTTTACAGACTTTGACTCTTTCCATCATCAGAAGCTATATAGACAATCAGCCCCAGCCCTCTTATCTCTCAAATGTGAAAACAAGGCAAAGAGAGAATAAAAAGTATAACAGCTTTAATGATATATACCTTGCATAAAATCTACCTATTTAAAATGTACCATTCAGTGGTTTCTAGCATACTGACATAATTGTTCAACCATCCGCACTGCCTAAGTTTAGAATATTTCCAACACCCCACGAAGAAGCTCTACATCCATTAGCAGGAATTCCCCATTGTCCCTTATCCCTAGCCCCAGAAAATCACTAATCTGCTTTTCTGTCTCTATGATTTGTCTATTCGAGATATTTATATTATATATATGATATCATAAAATAGGTAGTCTTTTGTGACTGGCTTCTTTCACTTTGCAAAATGTTTTCAAATATTATCCATGTTGTAGCATGAATTTTTTTATTGCCAAATCGTAGTTTCTCTTCTTCAGTTTTTTTGGAAAAATTTGTGAAGAATTGTTAATTATCCTTTGAATGTATGGTAAAATTCATCAGTGAAGCCACCTGGGCCTGGGATATAACTATAAGCATTTTTTTTTTTTTTTGAGACAGAGTCTCACTCTGTCGCCAGGTGCCAGGCTGGAGTGCAGTGGCAGGATCTTGGCTCACTGCAACCACTGCCTCACGGGTTCAAGCAATTCTCCCACCTCAGCCTTCCGAGTAACTGAGATTATAGGCACGTGTCACCACCCCCAGCTAATTTTTGTATTTGTAGTAGAGACAAGGTTTCATCATGATGAAACCTTCATCAAGGCCATGATGGTCTTGATCTCCTGACCTCATGATCCACCCGCCTCAGCCTCCCAAAGTGTTGGGATTACAGGTGCAAGCCACCATGCCCAGACTGTCCTGCAATTCTTTAGATATAATTTCCTTCAGTTATTGAAAGTGTTTGTAACAGCTGATTTAAAGTCTTTATCAAGTAAGCCCAACATCTGAGTGTTCTTACAGTTAATATTGATTGCCTTTCCCATGCATGAGTAGTACTTTCCTCTTTTCTGATTTTTTCTCTTTGCCTTTCTCTATCTCTGTCTCTTCCCCTCCCCCTTCTACCCTCCTCCTTTCTCTTTGAAAATGGAACATTTAACATAACATAATAGGGCAACTCTAAAAATCTGAACTCCTTCCTAGTTTTGATGTTTTTGCTGCTTGTTTAGTGATTTGCTCGGATGAGTTTTGCAAAGTCTGTATTCTTTGTCACGCGAGGCTGCTGAAGTTTCCACTCAGCAAATTGTTAGTTAGCTAATTATTAGGCAGAGATTTCCTCAAACACCTTGAACCAATCGGCCTCCCATGCTTTGTTCAGGGGCTGTATATGTGTGTTCTGAGGCATGCCTTCCACACTTTGAAAGTTTACCTCTGTGCCGTAGCCTTCACTTCCTGTTTTGCAGAATCTCAGGATACCCTACAGACACTTTTTTCAAATCTTCACTGCATATTTGCATGGTCTTCTAGATCCCCTGGAATACGTCAGAAAACATGTTATGTTTTCAAAGCCTGCTACAGGTGTTTCATTTTTCAGATTTTCCTTTTAAGATTTTTGACTATCCTCTTGTCTGCCCTAACTGGTATCACTGCCGTGGGCTACTTTGATATATTAAATAATTGCTGCTGATGCTTTCAGCCACAGCCCTGAGGCTAACACGTTACTCACAGAGATCGTTCTGAGTCAAGTCAAGTCAAGACATTTGTGAATGGGACTTTTCCACCATGTTTCCAGACAGGATAAATAATGACGATCATCCGTCTTTGTTTAGGATCTCCAAACTTATTCTTTCCTCTTAGTAATTTCTAAGCTCCTGATTAAATTTTAGAGTTACCACGGCTGCGAGGCTGCTGGTTTTCAAGGCTACTGTGGAGGTGGAAAGAAAGTGAAGGAATCTAGTAAGTTAAAACATCACAAAGCAGGGAACTAGCTCACTCTTCTTGCTGAGATTCAGTCACTTTTGTATAAATGTTCCTCGAACTGTTGCAAGCTTTTTTTTTTTTTTTTTTTTTTTTGCTTTTGTGGAAAAGTGGATTTTTGAAAGTCCTTGCTCTGCTATTCCAAAAGTGTTTCCTCTGGCCAAGAGAATTTAACTGACTTGTTCAAGACCAACAGCTAGTTGACAATTGAGTCTTTATATGAACTGAGTTTCATGTCAAATTTTGATGATCTTTCTGATATAATAGGAGTAAATGAATTATAGAAAGTTAACTTCATTATATTCAAGTTTATATTTGAGTGAAACTTCTGGGGGAAAAAAGAATTCATGAGAAAATTCATAATGTCAATTAACAACCAAGTTCTAAATTTTCAGTTAATCCGGTTAATACAGGACTAAAACGGCTTTCTTAGCATTCACAAGCCATGAATAATTTGAAAGAGAAAAAGAAAAGAAAACTGAGAGCTGTAAGCTGGATTGAATATTTTATATGCAGATGTGTGCACACACACACACATTATAACTACAAAACACGGAACGGCGGCATGTTCAACACCACCATTCTATGTATTATAAATGAGGCCAAAACTGAATAAGAATGCACATCACTGGCAAACACAGGAATTGTGGAATGAACTGCACATTTTCTAATTGAGTTACACCAAAGTCATTCCGCCAAACGTTTATTAATAGTTTACTATGTGCCCAGCAGTTCATATGGGAAGAAATACTGACTGTTCCTCAGAATTTGTAGCTGAGGTCCAGATGAAGACTCAGCCAGCCCTACGTCCACTCTGATAAAACTGGTCCGATCGCTACCGTGACTCCAAAAAACTGCTCAAATATTGGAAAACCTGGTGACTTCAAAGCTCTGGGCTCCTGCCACCTGCCTCTACTCTTACTCCAACTCATGATGGAATTAACCTTTAGCTTCTGAATTTGTACTGAGTAGACTTTTTCCTGGTTCATGATATTTGATAGTTGATGCTCCCTTCACAGCTGTTAGTCCCAGTCTCCGGGTAGTCTTGATTATCCTCGTGTGAAATCTTACCCTATTCTCTCTAGCCTCCAAGAACCACGTGCCTTTAGGAATTTGGTCATTCCCTCCTTCTTCAATAATGCCTTCTCTTCCTGTGGTACGTGTTTTGACATGTAATCACAGATATTTCATACTGAAAGAAACTTAGAACCACCATGCATTAGATCTGAAACTGAAGGCTAATCTGATTAGCCTCACCAAACTTTACCTCAGTCCCTTGCTTTTAGTTGATTTTAAAATCCGTATAGCTAAAAGTCACACAGCTAAGCCATTTATAACTACACTCCCACCATCTTCCTTATAGGCAATATCTCCGATGCATAGGTCACCATGGAAATGTTTACTTAAGTTGTTTTTCAGGAACTTGGAGTCAGCTCTTGTCCAGTTCAAGCCAGCTGAGACCACTGACCCTTCAACTGAATCTGAGTGAATATCCCATGGGTGACCTTTTGAGGTCAGAGGGCCAAAATCTCCATCCTCACATCATGGTAATAACGCCGTTTTGTGAACATGCATCCCATGAAGAGCTATGAAGCTGGGCTATACTTGCACAGATGACCGATTACCTCACTTTTCCTTACCCCCAATCACCTTGCCCTATGCTTCAGCCCGCCTTGCTCCTCTATCCCATAAATATCCCTAAAACCCCATCTCCAAGGAGACAGATTTGACTGCTGTTCTCCCATCTTCTCACTCAGCTGCCTGTAAATAAAATCTTTTCTCCACCGCGAACTTGTCATATCAGCGATTGGCTTACTGTACAACAGGCAGAACGAGCCTTGTTCGTTACAGAACCGTCACATGCCATTCTTTTTTTCTTTTTGAAACAGAGTCTCACTCTGTCTCCTAGGCTGGAATGCAGTAGCACAGTCTCAGCTCACTGCAACCCCCGCCTCCCAGGTTCAAGTGATTCTTCTGCATCGGCCTTCTGCGTAGCTGGGATTACAGGTACGTGCCACCACACCTGGCTAATTTTTGTATTTTTAGTAGAGATGGGGTTTCTCTATGTTGGTCAGGCTGGTCTTGAACACCTGACCTCATGATCCACCCACCTCAGCTTCCCAAAGCGCCGGTATTACAGGCATGAGCCACCGTGCTTGGCTAACATCCCATTCTTCTAAGAAGCTTTGACTGAATAGCTATGATCAAGGTGACAAAGACAGTCTAGGTCTTCATCGAGCTAATAGTCAAGCAAAAACAGAGGCTCCAAGAACACTGGCTTAGCTGGACGGGCTCAGCCTGGGGATGGAGCCATCTAGACTTCTGCTCTGAAGAAGTTTTTTCCTCTGGTTTTTCGCTTGCTACAGAATGTAACTGGCTTTTCCCCCCATTGGTCCATGAATCCAGGAAGCAACCGTCTTTATATAATCCCTTCCATGTCTCCCGCTGTCTCCTGTCTCTTGATCAGAATGCACAGGGCTTCAGCAGGATCTGAGATGTAAACTCCTCACGCAACTTAAAGTCAAAACAGCTACACCGTAGTTCTAAACTAGGCAAATCACTCTCGTATCTCCTGTGGGATAGGTATCTTCACAGCAAATCAAGGTGGAGAAAATGAACATGTTATAGTTGGGAGAAATATTTCAGGATACCTTGGGGCAGTGAGCCGTGTGGTGCCTGCTCCCAGTGATGGATGGAGCCACTTGGCAAGCAGCTGTCAGAGGGAGGGCAGTGCTTCACAGGCAAGACATAAACATCTCTCCAACGGGGACCAGTGCTGCCCACCACACCTTCTTCCCACGAAAGGAAAGTGCTGTTCCCACCAGCCGTCACAGCCGCACGGACGGCAGCAGCAGCCATGGCGGAGTCTTGGAACCCTAGACAATGGTACACATTCCGTAGCATGCCGCTAACGGTCTTGTCTCTGGAAGCCAAGAACAATAGCAGAACTGAAGAGTGATCTGGAACCACGGACCTACGGTTTGATTTTCAAAAAATACGTCCAAAATAAAAACACGTCTAGCCAAATTCGCCAAGTGACACAAGAAACATTCTGTGCTCCTGAGAAATCTCAACACCACAGAGAACATGAAGGAAAAGTTTCAGAACAATCGAAGCCAGTCCACAGCAGTCCTATCTGACAAATTCCAGCAAAGACTACGGTTATCCAGTCGTTTACAGCAAACATTGAATTAGGAGAGTTATAAAGAGCATACTTTCCTATCTGCACCAGAAGCTATTATTTAGAGGAAAAATAAACATATACATTATGAATAACGACACAATCTACGTCCTGTAATCCTCACAGGGCCTACAGTGGAAATACATGCCAAGTGCCCTTTGGTGTCTCAGGACATTTCCTGACCCTGCTTCCTGACCAGGTTTCAGGAGCTGTCCCTCGGATGACAAAGACCCCATCCTTGGGGACAGTTAAGGAAAGAAGTATGTCACTTGCTTTTAGGGTCGTCCTTGAGCACAGAATGGAGACAGAGACAGAGAGAAAAACAAAAAGAGAGACAGAAGCAGAGAGAGTCAGAGAACAAGAAAAAAGCCGGAGAAACAAACAAGAGAGACAGAGAAACAGAAAAGAGACAGAGAGAAAGAGACCAGGCTCTTCTGCCTGGAAGCAGCTGAGTATGAAGCTGCTGGTCCAGGTGGTGCTGCCTGCCGGTGGCAAGTGCTCCCTGGATTCAGCACCTCGGCCACTGGTCCACACGTGTGGTTCCTCTGCCTGCCTCTCCTCCAGCTGTGGCACCAATAAATACACATATACAGAAAGAGAGAGAAAGAGAGACCCAGAGCCAGGCAGTGCTGCTGGTTCATCAAAGAGAGTAGGAAACAGGAGCGAGGTGAGAAGTGGCCTGCCGGGTGAGTAACCTACGAGGTGAGCAGAAGCGGGTGAGACACGGAGGGCTGGTGTGGGCAGGACAGAGAGGGGACCACAGTGGACCCTCCTAGCTGCTCCAGTGAACCACACCTCCTCGCGTGCCCCACTCTCTTTTTTCTGTCTGGACGCCTGTGCTTTCTGGGGGAATCGTGTGGTATCAGAGAAGCTCGTAGACTTTTCAGGATCCCATTTGTTTTTTTAGAGGAAGATTCTGGTAAACTCTTTTGAGGGTAGATGGCAGAGCCTGGAGCCATGGCAGCTCAGGCTGGTCTGGGCAGACCCCAAGCAGCTGCTGTGGTCATCGGCAAGCCGGGCAGAGCAGGGGGCATGGAAGCCACCAGGTCAGGTCAGCCCTGGGGGATTCTGGAAAGGCTCGGAGAAGGATTTGCTCACAGCAGAGGATCATAAGTTCAGGACTGATCTTATTTTGCCTTCAGACTAGAGTGACCCAGTGACTCTGGGACTGTGTGAAGTCTGAGTGGAAGGTGGGAGGAAGGAAGAGACCGACGATGTAGGGCTGAGGCAAGGTCTCCTGCAAAGGTCTGGGGCAGAGTTAATGAAGTTAGAGTCACCGTAGAACCAAGAGGACCAGGGAACCAACGAGAAGGGGTGCCACAGGAGTGCTCTGGAGGGTCCAACCGGGAAAAATGAGAGGCACAAATTCCAGCAAAGAAACAGACACGCATTCACTGCACACTGACGTGGCCGCTGTGGCTCTAAGTAAATTACACATACCTTCCCATCCCTTACCGCTGCACAACTGTGCTCTAGATCCTCAAAGATAAGAGGCAGCCTGGAATACAAAGAGAATGGGCTAAAAGTGTTTGTAATAAAGAGGGTCAGAAATAGCAGGATGATAATAAGATCAACTATGGATACATGCAAACCCACACATTTGAAAACAAAAGCGCTAGCGAACATTTGACTATTCGCTGTGTGTCAGACACCATGCTTCACCTTTGCATATATTATCTCATGGTAGCCTCATGACAAACAAGAAGGTAAGTCATTTTCTTGTCCCCCTCCCTCCTCCTTTTAAAAAAAAGTCATATTCAAGGTCAGTGCTAGTAAGGCAGGGAGCCAGCCCCAGCCTCTGGCTCTAGAGCATGCCATGCCATGGGAAGTACCACATCACAGCCATTCTTTCCCTCGGCCACAGGACTCAGATGCAGGCTTCTCCGGCCTCTCTGGGAGAGGAAGGGGCTGTGAAGCAGTCTCACTGCACGTTACTCTTTTTTTTTATTTTTATTTTTTTATTTTTTTAAAGGTAGGGTTTCACCATGATGGCCAGGCTCATCTTGAACTCCTGACCTCAGGTGATCCACCCACCTCGGTCTCCCAAAGTGCTAGGATTACAGGTGTGAGCCACAGTGCCCAGCCTGCACAATGCTCTTAATGAGCAAGGAGGGACATCATAGTGCAGAGAAACAGATTCAGGGTGAACTAGACATCAAAAAGGCAAACCAGTAGCCACAGTCCTTCCACGATCACCTTCCACAGTTTGTTCCCAAGTTTCCATCTCAGGAACCAAGAAGTGCAATGCAGGTTTATTATTTACTCATTTACTAAGACAGCATCTCACTCTGTCACCAAGCTGGAGTGCAGTGGCGCAATCTCAGCTCACTGCAATCTCCACCTCCCAGGTTCAAGTGGTTCTCCTGCCTCAGCCTCTGGAGTAGCTGGAAATACAGGTGCACCCCACCTGGTCCAGCTAATTTTTGTATTTTTAATTGAGGCGGGGTTTCACCATGTTGGCCAGGACTGATCTCGATCTCTTGACCTCATGATCTGCCCGCCTCGGCCTCCCAAAGTGATGGGATTACAGGTGTGAGCCACCACACCAGGCCGCAGGTTTATTTTTGTACTGGAATTCCTCTTTAGAAGTCAAATGAAGTCAGATTATTTGCTACAGTTTTACAACGCTAGTTACTTTCATTCACATTTATTAAGTTTAACATTCTGCTAAGAAACAATGTTGTCAAACTTTCACACTGAAAAGTCCTTCCTTAACTAAGCATAGACAATTTACCATTTTCAGCAGCAATCCATTTTCACAACTAATTCCTCAAGATTATTGCACTGAACTGTACCTTTCTGTGTAATGGTATGAAAAAGTGATTTGTAGCCTTTCTTTCTTTCTTGAACGACTAGCTTAAACATTAGCATTGGTACTGGGATTAAGATTCAGAAAATCATAGGGACATGTAAATTGAGATAATGCAAAGATAGTTAATACGTAGAATAAAACTTTAAATGAGCATTAAATACTAATTGTCAGTGTAATTTCAGCACTTTGAAATGCATGTTTTTAGTTAGTCTAATTTAAAAGAAAGTCATTTAAGTAAAATTCTGCAATTATAACTGTTTAATGGTAATTGAAACAACAGATTCTTTCATTTTCTAGTATTCAAAACTTTAAGTGACTGTTTAAACTGTGGTTTGCATTCTGTTTCTGCTACTTTTTGAGAATGATATCAAAACAGTTCTCCCCACTTAAAAGCAATAATGTTGAACCTCCTAAGACTAAAAGAAATGTAACTTCCAAGGGTACTCACTAGTTAATAAAATATTTTTTTCTGTCATTTTTAAAGGCTATCCTTTATTGCTTTCCAGAGAAGTATGCTCAATGTTACTTTTTCTAAATTATCCATGATTGGGAAGATTAAAATATTAATAACTTTTGATTGAGCAGGTGTTTAAAATAACCATGTAAACCTTCTGACATGTATGTTCACGAAAGAGGTTTAAAAACATAAATTAGAAGTCTGTTAATATCATGGATGGCAAAGAATGGCTCTTGATTATTTTTGTTAAAACACCAATGTGGTTTTTTATCATTTCATATCATGATATTGGCAAAAACAAAGGAAAATAAACAAAAATACAACAATTTGAAGTAGAAAATCTTTAAAACAAATTCTCCTATGTTGTTTTATAAAGTTTACATGAAATGTAAAAAAAAATGCATTTAATATCATAATACACTTTCAGACCTCAGAATACAATCCTCAGATACATGATACTTTTTTTTTTTGAGACAGAATCTTGCTCTATTGCCAGGCTAGAGGGCAGTAGGGTGATATCTCAGCTCATCGAAACCTCCACCTCCCGGGTTTAAGCAATTCTCCTGCCTCAGGATACATTTTAAAGTTATTGTGAAATTTTACTCTTCATAGAATTCACTCAATGAAGAAGTTTCTGAAAGTCTATGGTAACAGAATGATTTATTTCCTTCTAAAATTAAATATGTACACAAGTATAACATGTAATGAGTTTTGTTCTCCCTTTAAATACATTGAAAGTATATTTATACCATTGTTACTCCCTTAGGTCGGTTGCTTATTAATTACTATCTGTCCATCCACTAAGGCCATTACTGCAAATGTATAGGCTGATCTGATTACTAAAATAAGAAGACTCAGTAGCGTTAAGAGTGAAAACAATGCTAATGAAATTTTGTAGCCCCCGAAGAGAAGAAGCTATATAGAGAATAAATAGAAATTTCTTAACTTCATCACAAAGTTAATCAAAAATACCAAAGCCGACTTAAATGGCTCACTTTATTGCCATTCCAATGTGTAAAGTTTTCGGTTCTATGTGGAACACGTTTCTCTGATTCTCCACTGCGCTCACCACTGTCGCCCTGACAAAGCCTCCCTCCTTGACTGAACCTCATGCAGGCCTCTCTGACCCCTCTTCTCAACGAGGCCTCCCCCTGGTGCCTTGCCCTTGGCCTGCTAGTCCAGTGGTAGCAAGAGTCCTGCTAAGTTGGACTCTTTAGCAAGAATCCACCCCCCACTCCCTTGATGTTTTTTATGTCATTTTCCATCCAATGATCCCTCATTCTGCTCACTGGCTGTAATTCCCCAGCCGTCTTGGCTGTATTTAAAGTTGAGCCCCATCTCTTTCCCCTACTCCAATGGTCTTGACACATATCACAGTAGTCCTGAATAATTTTTTCTTTAACATTCCCCCGTCTGTTCTGTTCTGGTTTTAATGCTGTTTACTAGCCCAGGAA